AAGTCTTCTCCACTTTTACGGTTCGCCCATTCATAGTAAGATGTGGTGGTCTTCGATATAGATTGGTGTGCCTTGGTTTGTTAAATACTATTCCTTTCGTTTTTGCAGGGTTAAAATAGAACTTATGATTTATCCCCCAACTGTATATCCTTTGTATCATAAGGTTACCTTTACTCTCTAGGCTGCTCTTGAGCGACCACCAATCAACATCATAACATCATCTGCATACGCAAATGAATCTGTTTGGCCAAAATCTTGAGTAAAAAAGAGATCGAAAGTTATATTCCAAAGCAGGGGTCCACAAACGGACCCCTGCGGATATCCTTTTGTTACAGATTTCCTCACATGATGTTGACCGTATTGTAATACCACCACTCTATCTTGTAAATAATCTTGTATGATACCGAAGATATTTCGCGGACACTTGATATGTCGCAGTGGCAGTTTAATGAGTGGCCACCAAGCGTTATCGAATGCTTTGGATATATCCAAACTAATCCTTAATACATATTTATTATTTTCTAGCAGGTGTTTTGTTTTCTTGACCATAGCCTCAATCGCATCTTCTGCCGATCTTTGTGGCCGAAAGCCAAATTGGTCCTCACTGAGACATTTGGTTTTTTTCAACAAACCAAGACAGTTTGTTAGTGATTAGTGTTTCCAATATTTTTCCCAGTATTGATAATAAGGAGATTGGTCTTACATCATCCGAGGATCCTGACTTTGGAACAGAGACAACCCTTGCGACCTTCCAGGAACTTGGGAAAATATCATAATGAAAACATGCTTTCTACAGACGTGTAAGATGTTGTGGTATTGAATCCATAGTTTTATAGCAATATCAGTAGTAATATTATCCAGGCCAGGGGCCTTGCCCTTTTTCAAACTGCAAAAAGCTTGACTGATTTCTCCATCAGAGAAAGATGGCATATTTTCAGTATCTTCTATCAGGTCGGCCTCTGCACGAATATCTCTCTGTAAGTCTGTGTCACTCTCAGAATCGTCTCTTGGGCAGAAGGTCCCCAACTGAGAGGCCAGAGTTTGGATAAGTGTCATTGGCTCATTTTCAGCACATTCAGGAGCATTAATGATTTTAGTTATCCTATGTTTATTACTGCACATTTTCGTAATATAGCCCCATGGATTTTTAGCAGACTCTGTACAAAACTCTCTCCAACTGCACATCTTCTCGGTTTTGATAGTTCGTTTATATAAACGTTGGCTTTCAAGATATGCAGATCTATGTATCCTACGTATTCGATCATCTCTGCATCTTTGATATATTTTCCTGAGATGTCTAGTTGTTTTACGAAGATTTTCTATTTCAGATGTCCACCACGGAACTCTTCTTTTTTGAGGTATCTTTTTTGGAATAAATAAGTCACAAGCATTTGATATTGTAGTGATATTATGATCTATTTGTTGTCTAGCGTCGACTGGATTATCAATGTAGTGTAGTATTAAATGTGTCTCTAAATAATCCTTTAATCCCAACCAGTTTGCTTTGGTTAGAGCATATTTCAAAAAAGGTGAGTATGCAGGAATTCGATCATCACCAGAGTTCGAGAAATGAAAGCTAATAAGCGCATGCCCAGTAAGGCTATCTTCAGCAAGAATTCTCCAATTACTAATTTTTTGTATGTTCTATTACAACCAATTGCGACATCAATCCAGCTTTCACCTCTATGTCAGGTGAAAGTTGGTGGAGACAGTGGATTATTAATTATTATGAAATTATTCCGCATGCAGAACTCTTCCAGCAAGCCATCTCGCATATCGAAAGTATCGCCACCCCAAGCTGGCGAGTGAGCATTCATGTCTCCGGCAATCAAAATGTGTAAACCATGAAAAGCGTCAACAATCCTCTGTACTTCAATGGTTGTCTCTTTAATCCGATGTATTCTTTCGGTAGACTATCTTACAGCATCAGGTAAATGAATTCTTTTATTATATTTTTACATATGCATTTCGAACTGGTTTCATATTTCCAGTTCCTCTTCAGTGCTCTTTAAGGATTTTACACATTTCTTTTTATCCTCAGTTGGATTGTTTTGAATCGCAGTATGACTTAACGATTGAGGTTTTTTCCTTAAAACATATTCCACTAAAACACCAGTATTGGACGTAAAATGTAATATGATGAAAATATTGGGACTCTTTTTTTCCTTTGTTTTAATATTTCTTGAACATTATTCCAATTATCAATTCTGTGCTTAGATCCTCTTTATAATTAAACATTGAGGTTTTCTTCTTTTCCGTATTTTTTTGAAAATATTTTATTAAATACAAATTATGTATTGGAAAAATTCACAAATGTTAATTTACACACGGTAATTCACACACAGTAACTTTTACAACCTTCAGAAGCATAAACACTAAAGATTGTAAAAGATTGTAAAAGTTACTGTATGTGAATTACCGTGTGTAAATTAACATTTGTAAATTTTTACAATACAGCAATATTGAATAGCATGCAGAAATGCATGCTATTCAATTGGCAATTGCCTGGTCCACGGAAAGGAATAGTAATGCTCTAATCCACATAAACACGGATTCCTTGTCTGCCCATAAAATTACAAATAGCGTCAAACTACACCCAGTTGCTGAAGAAATTAGACGAATGATACGCTCGTCTTCTTGTATATATGCCGTCTCTTGGATTCGAGCCCACTAGGAAGCAATAGGAAATGAAAAAGCTGACTTCTTAGCCAAGCAGGCGGCGGAAAACTTCACATTGCCAGTTAGTTATAATAAAGTTAGCCCACAAACCCTACGGCGGATTTTATGGGAGGATACTATTCGTGCATGGCAGGATAGATGGAATGAAAACAGAGATCGCATTACTTATGAATTTATACCTGATATACATCAATTTTATAACTTAAGATGATATTCACCAAATTACTATGTGACTCAAGCGTTCACCGATCACGGAAATTTTGCATGCTATCTTGTCAGGTTTACTGGTAGGACTTCGAACGAATGCCCTACATGCCATAATATTGATGGATCGAAACATTATTTGTTCGACTGCGTTATGTTCGAAAGAGTTAGACTGGAATTAAGATTAACATTAGAGGAGATTGGTGTGGATTGGCCATGCCGATTTTCTGACATTATGAGAGACAAGAATTTATATAATGTATTCTTACGATTTGCTGAACAAACCAACTTATTTATAATTAGATTAATTGTATTTATTGCTTCTATTTTGATAATGCACTGTATTTAAAGGTGTGACTTTGCATTCGACAGTTAATTCGGAGAGTTAGCAACTATGACTTTGTCTATTTCTTGATATATTTTATTAAATTACTATCCACCTCTGATTTATCTTGTTCTGGAGATCACTTTTATTCATTTCTTTGTGGTGGCTACATATGTATACGTGGGATGCTCATTGCTTTATACGCTTGAGCCTGGCATTATTTCTGGTTTACTTAACTATTGGGAAGTGTCTATGACTGATTGACTAGTTGTGATGTACTTATGAGTTGCCACAACTGAATGTAGACCGAGTTATCCATTGCCTTTGTGACTGTTTTGAAATTCTATATTTTATCGACTTGTACATTATGACATTTAACCCCTATTGAAAATACCAATGTCTGTATTTCAACTTTGGGCATTATGACATTAATCCACTATGAGAAATAACGATGTTTAAGTTCTGGCAGTTTGCTTACAGTACCCGCTGTGATAATGTAGGGCCTTCATTGATCTGAGATTTCGACTGAGTTGAGCTCTACAGTCTCTGCCTACTAAAGCGGACTTATATGGGACATAACTTTGTAGTGGTGACTCTGCTGTGCTGCTTACAATAATTTCAATATGCCTCTTCAATGGGCTTGTTCTCAGCTTGCTTGAACGAAATTCATTGTGCTCTAACCGTCTCTTTCTGAAATTCTCTAAAGTCTGCTCTTGTGACGAGCATACTTCAGAGAATTTAAATGTATAGAATGTAATCACTATACTCTTATCGGCATTCAATTGCTTCAAGGTCCTTCGTTGGAGCTTCAATGTGTTTCATTGCTTGGTTAATTCTTCAATGTGTTTAAAGTGTTTTGTAGTGCTTAAATGTGCATTCCTAATGCTTCAAAGTACTTTTCATCAATAGTGTGTCACAATGTTTCAACCATGCAGTGTTTTATAAGTGTTTCAGCATGCTTATATGTGCTTCTGGTACTCTTGTGACGAATGGTGCTACTAGTGTTTTATGGTGCTACAAGTGCAACGTGCTCCATGTGTTTTGGTGCTTTAATGTGCAACGTGCTTAATGTTTTAATGTTTGATATGTTTTACAGTGCTTCTAGTTTTCTATGGTGTCTCTAGTGTTTTATGGTGTTTGTAATGCTTTATAATGCTTATGGTGCTTTTAAAGCACCATAAGCATCAAATCAAAACACTAAACATACTTAATCACATTAAGTATGTTTTAAGTATGTTTAGTACTTTGATTTGTTGTGTGGTGCTGTAAATATTTCACGGTGCTTCTAGTGTTTTATGTTGCTACATGTGCAATATGCTACAACGAGTACTACAATGTACTCGTTGGAGTAGTATGGTTCTCCAAAGTTCAATGCGCAACATGTGTTTTATGGTGCTTCAAAGTGCAAATACAACGTGCAAAGTGCTTTATGGTTTTTTAAAGCGCATTGTGAAGTGGGCTTTAAGTACCTAAGAGCTTTAATTCATTCAATGTGCTCCAAAGCAGTGAAATTCACCTACTCTAACTTCGCTGGGCTTTCAATTTATATGTAGCTCAGCTATGTTTCCTTTGTGCTTAGATGATCTGCACAACAGCAGCATAATCGACGTACCTCAACCTTCGCTGTGCATTCGGCTTATTGATGGCTCAACCTTGTTTCTTTTCAATAAATCTACACATCTATTAAATAAATAATAAAAACAATGGGATCGGTGTAGACAAATATTAAAATTAATAAATTCTAAAAATTTTTTCGTTTAAAAAAACCCTTAAGAACCACAAGTGACGTTCACTCTTTAATTCCGACTTCGATAGAGTTTAAAAAAACAGAGAAAACCAGAGAATTATTTTCACTATTTCTTACTTTATTATGTTATCCATATATATTTCGCTATTTTAGCCTCTTCAGTGGATATTACACTGTTAAGTTGCCAGTACTATTATAGTTCATCAAGCTATCCCAGCATGCATCGACATATGCTCCTGTATTTAAATTTATACAATTTGCATGTTCTTTAATACAGTAATGTTCTATGATGCGTCTTTTTACAAAATTTTTTTCTTTATACAAAATTTTAATATTACTACGATCAATAAGACAATTTTTAATACTGCAGTGTTGTTGCCACGGGGATTCAGTTCTGTTCAATCGAATTGCCGCCTCATGCTCCTTTAGCCTCACTTCCAGTTTTCTTCCTGTTTCTCCAACGTAGCTTTTCCGTTCTGTGCACGTACACATCAATTCATATACGACTTCTGCAACTTCTAAAGGATTCTTCGATTGTTTTTCATTTGCTTTATTAATCAGACAAATACTGTTATTTAATTTATTTTTTTGTTCACCTACTAAATTGACTGAGAACAATTCTTTAATATAAGTTTTATATTTTTCATAAAATTTGAAAATATATGGAATTTTAATATATAAGTTTTCTATTTTATTATTTTTAACATTATATCTATTATTTAAATACGAATTGTACCACTTACGTATAAGCTGTTGTGGATAGTCATTCAATAAATATTTTTTAAAAAGATTCTTAGTTTCAATTTCAATATATTTTTTTAAAGTTGTTCTATTAAATATTTTCTTTAATTCCATCAAAAAAACATTTCTTTTTATTCCTATAGAAGAATATGACTTGTAATTAATCACCTTATTATTATTACATATTTTTTCGTATTTTCGGAACAGCAATGTTTCATTTTTTCTTGTGATTATTACATCTAAATAATTAATTTCATAATTTTTTTCTTCTTCATAAGTAAATTTAATGTTCTTATTTAAACTATTTGCATAATCCTTGATATTTTCAGCTGTAACGTTATTTGAGTCGTACAAAACTAATATGTCATCCACATATCTAGTATAAAAAACAATACCTTGGTACTGGAAGATTTTTTCATCTATTGATGCCATACAAATATCGGCAAGCTTTGGGCCAATTACTGATCCCATTGCGATCCCGTCTCTTTGGCGATAATATTCTGTAGATATT